CCTTGGAGTGAACAAACACAGTAGACGCGGTCGGTACAAACCAAACATAGATACATTTATTTAACTAATTACAACGACAATATCGTTCGCCTAATCGTTACATCAATCGTTGTCAACAAGCTAGGACATCTGTATACAATATTAGCATACACTCTATGACAAATGCAATAATATGACAAACACACACTAACATGATAAACACAATAACATATAAAAGGCGGCCTCGCCAATGCTTGACTTACCACGAGGGGTCCTGGCGCGCAGCTCGCGGTGCCACGCGCCGAGGACCCATGCTAGAGACAACCGTTCGTGGCAAACGCCACGCGCAGAAGAGCCTCGCTCAACTCTCGCTCACTACCAAGGCTTGCTTCCACCAGGGGTCACCGCCGGCGCTACCACTGTAACAACCATGATGATGATAGTGGTCCTCAACGCGAACACGACGACGTCTATCGCCTGGTGGTTGTATCCTGAAATGCGGCTTTTGGGTGAGACATGTTCGCGACGCAGCGCAAACAACTTTACAGGGGGTGTCAGCACCCCCACAAACTAACGACACTCATCAGCATGCCGCACAATTTCAGAAACAGGACTGAATTCGAAAGCGTCCTGGAGATACGGCAAAATGGTGTCAAAAGTGCCGCATTGCTCACGGTTGTATAGAAAAAAGAAAGGTGAAAAGCCTGTTGTTGACTGCATCGCGGTATTATATGCATAGGTTACCAACAGTAGCACCACATCCCAGTTTGACTGGTCAGAATTGACATACATTGCGATTATGTCTCCCAGAGTTCTAGATGCACTCTGCTAGACCGTTGGCCTGCGGGTGGTAGGCAGTGAAGGTGTGTTGAACCGTACGGCATGTGCAGAGGAGTTCTTGAAGAACCTTGGATAAGAATACGTGCCCTCTATCACTGAGTATTTTACGTGGTGCACCATGATTTAGGACAAATCATCGTAAGATAAAGTTGGCTACGTGCCGAGCAGTAGCTGTAGGTACCAGAGCTGTTTCTGCGTATCTCGTCAGATGGTCCACGGCGACGATTACCCATTGATTGCCAGTTGCGGTGTAAGAAAGTGGTCCATATAGATTAATGCCTATCAATGCCTGCACGGTCGAATGGGCGTGCCAGACATGGTAGAGGTTGTAGTAGTCCGGGTGAATAGGCAAATGACTTTCGTTGTTGGTACAATAGACAGGGTCGGACGTATTTTTGAACGAAGGTGTACATGCCATGCCAGTAGTAGCGCTGGCGAAGGGTTCATACGTCTTCAGTGCTCTAGCGTAAGTGTGCTGTGGATCAGCATGAAAATGAGCGCATACTTCAGATCGCATATGGCTTGGTATAACCAAAAGCCATTTACGACCATCCACTTTGTGGTTTTCTCGTTAGAGCAGCATGTCTCGTATCGCTAAGTGTGTGACTTGACGACAAAGAGCACGTGGGTATGCTGACGTGGAAGTGTTGGAATGGACGTTAAGGAAAGATACAATCCATCGATTTTCATGCTGCTCAGATGGCATACTCGGGATGGAAATGGCAGTGATGGCAATGTCATCTTTTGAGTGCAGGTCTTCGCTGCATCACACTGCTGATTGAGAGAGCACATCCGCATCAGAAAGTTTTTGCACAGATCGGTAGATGACACGAACGTCAGATTCTTGGAGGTGCAGCACCCAATGTCCTAGACAGCCAGAAGGGTCCTCCAGAGAAGCTAACTGACAGAGTGCGTGATGCTCGGTGACGATGTTGAAACTCTTTCCGTAGAAGTAAGGACGAAACTTGCCTAACGCCCACACAATTGTGAGGCACTCTATCTCTGTGACAGAGTAGTTAGTTTCCGCTTTTGTGAGTGCGCGGCTAGCATATGCAACAACGTATTCTAGAATACCGAGCTTACGTTGTGCGAGTATTGCACCAAGGCCGACGTCACTAGCGTCAGTGTGCACTTCGGTCAGGGCTGTTGGCTCATAATGGCGTAAAATAGGTGGTGATGTGAGCAGGTGACGCAATGTGTCGAAGGCTTCATCCTATGCTTGGGCCCAATTAAAAAGGTTAACAGACAAAGCAAGTAGTTTCGTGAGCAGTGCTATCTATGACTGAAGGAAAGTTACGGACAAAATGACGAAAATAGGAGCACAAGCTGACGAAGCTCTGCAGTTCTTTTGAGTATTTTCGGTTTCGGAAACTCGGCGACTGCACTAAGTTTTTCTTGTTCTGGAAGTATTCCATCCTTTGAGATTACATGGCCAAGTATAACAAGTTGACGCACTTCCAAGCTGCACTTCTTCAGATTAAGCTCAAGGTTTGCCTTGGTGAGGCACTTAAGAATCGTGTGCAAACAAGCAACGTGGGTAGGAAAATCTGGGGAGAACTCGACAACGTCATCCAGGTAACATAAACATATTTGCCACTTCAGGCTGAATGCTGTCCATCAATTGCTCAAATGTAGCAGGCGCATTGCACAGACCGAATGGCATTACTGTGAATTCACATAGGCCATCTGGCATGAAGAACACTGTTTTAGGACGGTCACATTCTGCCATCGGCGCCTGCCAATATCCTGAACGCAAATCTAATGATGAAAAATATTTGGCCCCCTGCAGGCAATCGATGGCGTCATTGATGCGTAGAAGAGGGTAGATATCTTTCTGTGTAATCTTGTTGAGGCGCCTGTAATCCTCACAAAATCAAATTGAACCATCTTTTTTTTTCTGACGGCGAAGACCAGGGACTACAGGCGAAGACCAGGGACTTGAGGAGGGCGTGATAACACCGTGGGGAAGCGTGTCATTCACTTTCTCCGCAATAATATTGCGTTCTGTCATGTACTATATACGAGATACTTTCTTTAATGTAACTCCTCACACCCTTATTTCTATGTTTTATGTTCTCTGTGCATTGCACGTGTATGTAGTGGACTGCCTTGCACAATCTGCTCCAAAATGTCTGAGAACATGCTAGAATATTTTCTTAATGTCTGTTTCGGCTGGAGCGTGCGAATGCGAACAGCTAAATTTATTCTGGAACAAATTTGGCCATCGGCAATAATGCTTTAATGTTCTACGCCACATGTATAAATGCTGACGCCCATTGTCACAGATCGGTTTGTCAACGACTGACGCTCTGTTCGCCGCTGTCAGTGCCATGTGTATCGCTGTAATCTGACCTTCCGTTCACCTGGCGCAAGCTCAACGGAATAAATCGTTACATTTTCGACCTACAGTCTGCGCCCTTCATCCACGTCACGACCCCGTGACAATATAGAAAAGGCAGATAATGATGAACACATTGCGAGACGTATCGTGATACAGATGTAAGATAGTAAAAAAAGATCTATGGTAGTATCTAAAGTCTATGTATATCCTCAATACTGTTCAACACAGTATCTAAGGTCTATGTATATCCTCAATACTGTTCAACACAGTCTGTGATATGCTATTTGGACTGAGGAAATGCAGCTGCAATGCCGGTATACTGCATCTGAGATTTCCTTCTTGAAAATTTTCCACAAGCACACGGGGACACAGATGATTGATTGATTGATATGTGGGGTTTAACGTCCCAAAACCACCATATGATTATGAGAGACGCCGTAGTGGAGGGCTCCGGAAATTTCGACCACCTGGGGTTCTTTAACGTGCACCCAAATCTGAGTACACGGGCCTACAACATTTCCGCCTCCATCGGAAATGCAGCCGCCGCAGCCGGGATTTGAACCCGCGACCTGCAGGTCAGCAGCCGAGTACCTTAGCCACTAGAGGGGACACAGATGAGAACACTCCCGTTTGCGTTCTCTTCTGTGTCCCCATGTGCTTGTGCGAAATTTTCAAGATGGATATGTTCCAACTAAACCGAATCGCAGTTTTGCTTCAGATTTCTTGGTAGATGGCTAACAAGCCTCTTCGCTGCTTCATTTTAAATTCAGGCAGCCATTTCTGTGCATGTTGCATGTTTTTCCTCTATCTTTTCACTTATTGCATGCATGCCTCGTCCTTTTTAAGGGCAGCTCTAAAGTGCAATTTTATCCATTTCGTATCATCCTATTGTATAAATGCAATGAAGAAAAGAAGGGGCTTTCTTTCTTTGTTAGAAACAATGTTAATGAAAACTGACAGTTAATTATGCCAAGGAAAGGATAGGGGATATTATTTAAAGTAATTCTATATAAATGGGAAGAAAGAAAAGTGAATAAAAGGATAACTTGCCGTGAGCAGGAACAAAACTTGCGGCCATCGAATAACGCATCGAATGCGTTATTCATGCAGGCTCCCGTGATATGCATCGTGTACGAGACTAGAGTTACTGTATATACTCCCTATCTAAAGGTAGCATATACTGTAACTTTACGTGAGATACGACAACGCTACTATTTGCGGGTAAGATATTTTATTCACTTGTTATTTTTATTTATTTATTTATTTCAAAATTTGGACTGCCAAGTTCTAGGGAGGGGCCCCTAGTCTAATGTATACGGTACTCAATTCGTTCTTGTGGTAGCACGGATAATGTTGCTGTTTCTGCTCGGGTGCTCATTTGCCGACCGAAAAGCCACCTGTTTAATCTACTTGCTTATGGGTCTGTCAACAATACCCATTAATATTTTTTGTATGTCACAAAATGTTTGTGAAATGTGTGCTCTCTCAAATTACTTGCCCCAATACCATATTGCAGTTTCGAAAACCTATACAGCTGCCCTCGAATTTCACACTGGTGAATATTGTATTCATTGAGCAAGTTTTTTTTTGCTTAGTAAACACACTTCACTACAGTGTCTCTCATAATCATATAGTACTTTTGGGACGTTAAACCCCACATATTAATCAATCTTAGCAAACACAGAAGTTTCTGAGTCACTGCTGAGTTTATGTAGAAGGGCATTTTATGCTGTGCTTACGAAGGCTGCTTTAAGTGCGTACATGAACAGAGCAGTGAAGTTTTCACCGACAGTGGGTGTGAACATTGTAAACATTGCCTCAAATGGTTGTGTCCTTGCAGGGGGCAGGATCGGGGCTCATGGGTCGGGCAAAGAAACTTTCCGAGATTGTCTATGGCATGGTGGGTGCTCTGGACGTTCCCTTGACCGTGAAGATGCGAGCAGGCATGCACGAAGGCCGTCCCATTGCCCACCAAGTGATTGCCCAGCTCATTGAGGCTCCTCGCAAGCCTGCACTCATCACTGTGAGTATAATAAATTGTTTTGCAAAGGCAGCTGTGAAACAGCGAGGCTGAGTAAACAAACAATAGTAAAACGTCTGTAATGCAAAGTCACTAGGACTGTGAAAAATCTTTGAATTAAGCGGGTTTTCAACTAATAGAACGTAAGAAAAGAACTTAGGAACTTAAAAATATTAGTAGTAATCAGGCTTGTTCGTTTGACGTGCTGGCTAGGTTATGGCTCTAAGGGTTGGCTTTTCCAGCAACATCTGTTCTCAATTTTGCCGCAAACACAGTGGCAAAGCGGGCCTCTCTGCTGCCACTGCAAAAAAGAGGGGGGGGGTGGCGTTGTGAAATGTGCGCCTGTGAAATACAAGAAATTTATTTATTTATTTATTTATTTATTTATCATAGTACCCACAGCACCTAAGGGCATTACAGTGGGGGGGGGGGAAAGAAAACAAAATTTCAACACTGAATACAGATACTCACACTTCTACAACACAATAATAACGCAATTCATTGTCAACTATACGTAGCGGCTCGTGGGAGTAGACAATACAAAGCAGCTTCACAGCGCCATTTTGTCCCTACACATCTTCGCGAGTACACTACTCTAGACCCTTAAGTATAAGTAACCTCTGCTACTTCAGAAGGCAACCTATTCCACTGCGCTATCTTCCTGGCAGGGCCGTACCCAGGAATTTTTTTTCGGGGGGGGGGGTTTGCATGTAGAACGGCTGCCATTTTTTAAGATTTATACTTGCTTATTTTCGTGAATAAAACAAGTACATCGCTTACTTGTAATAATTCGATGGTACTTTTCAATTATTTGTACCCAAATGAAGAAATTGGTATGTCAACCTCAAATTCTGGTTAAAGCAAGAAATAAGTTTGGACAATAGCACCACCAAAGCCGAGGACACCGCGACCAACGGCTCCTGATGAAGTAACACAATGTAACCGCGGTACAAAAACGGTATGTATGTGTTACAAGCTGCCACTCTAGAGTCGCCAGCGCGAAGTCGGCGACGGGAATGGCAGCACGTTAGGTCGTTCCGTACGTAAGCAGAGACAGTGAAGAGATCAGAGATGTATGTGGGGAAAAACAAAACTCTAGTGATATTGCAGCACTGCAGAGGAATCTAGGAATATTGCAGAGGAATCTAGTACAACACTTAATACCAACTAACAAAATACATATAAAATCAATAAATCAGCTTACAAAAGAGAAGTATCACAAACTACACAAAACTAACCAACAATAAAACTACAGATGAGAAAGTCCGAAGGTATGAACAGGTGAAGGGATACCTGTGATGACTGGCAGCGTTGAGTCCACGACGATCGGATGCGAGAAGTCAGAGAGAGTTCTGGCACAACTGCGATGTCGGTGGTATTGCAGCGCTGGTGTTTCCGGGAGGCTAGTGCTTGAAGACGATCTCGGGCAGGTTGAGCTTACTCGAGATTCAAGTACCGATGCCTACGTTACAGACGTTAAATTCGCGTCACAACTAGACGAATGGCTAAGTTTAGGTGGCCAGCCGACACGGAGCCACAACCACTTACTTAAGGGATACTTCTTGATCTCCTTCTACACCATGTTGGTCAGCAACTAGACTGCTTAGCAAGGCGAAATCCTGCTCTTAAATCGACCTCCGTGTCCCCTGATTCTTGTCCTGGGGGAAAAGAGACCTCTACATGGGTCCAATCATGCACGTTTCATTGTTAAAAACTCCACCCTAAAAATATATTGACCACGTCCTTTTTAATTAGGAGAGGGTCCTCAACTAAGCGAAAGTGATAACCTGTTGGGGTTCTCTCATACGGCTTGTCCACAAGCAGTTTTGCCCGTGGGAATGGTCAGTTTCCTCTACTTCAGCCGGTGCGTCTTGCAGTCTACAGCTAGTTCGGGGTGCATCGCGGCCTTTGATGACCCTGCCGACGCCGCCGTAGGTACAGATCAAACATCGGCGACTAACGTTTGAAGAAGAACACCCCGTTCAGTACTTCCCTGCACTAAAGGCCAGTCTTTTCATGAGCGAACGGTTCCACCGGTCAGCGGGGGAGTGCGGCGCCCGTTAATTTGCCGTTACGCCGGGTCGCAAATATGGCAGTCCGTGACAGCATGTATGCAAGCAAACAAACAAGTCGCCCGACATTCCGATCTTCTTGTTACCGTTCGCACATTCTGCTTGCTGGATAGTTTCCTCGTAATTGCGAAAGGATAGAAGGGTTGAAGCTTGGGCTAGCTGGGTTTAGCTTTTAATCGGCTCTTGAAACATAGAGGGAAGTTTAAACGAGGAAGTTTTTCCTTCTCGGCAACTTGCAAAATTCTGTGAGGACTTGTTCTGGGGTCACTTGAAGTTCTCGATGGATGCTGAGCAGTGCTAGTCCGGTCAATCTGTCGTTCGTATGATTTCGAAGGTAGCTCTTCAGCCTTCTCAGTGTGGAAAAAGTCCGTTCCGGGGTCGACGTCGACACTGGTAAAGTCGCCAAGGTAGAAAGTAGGCTGTGGATGTTCGGAAAAACGTCGCGGTTGCATATCTCTAAGGCCTGTAAAGCACAAGCTGGGCGATTCTTTTCTTCGATCTGGCAGCATTTGTTCACCCACAGTGTGAACTCTGCTTAGTAGGGTTGAGAGCTGGGCTAGTTGGTGAGACATCATTTAACCATATGGTGTAGTAGCGCAATTTTCACGGGGACGAAGAGGACAAGCGAGTGTCGTGTGTTCTTGTCCTCTTCGGCCCTGTGAAAATTGCGCTACTACACCATATGGTTAAATGGTGAACTCTGCTTCGATGACATTAGCCGAAGGAATGTCGCCAAGGTAAAACTGCACTGCATCATCAATATCAGAAAGGCTAGCCGATGCGCAGAATTTCGGCAGCAGCATGTTAAGGCCAATCACGACCTTCTTATGGGCATTGAACCGGTCTCTTAATTGATTTTCGAAGTCAGCCAGCAAAGGCAAATACACATTCCTCCGGTAGTACTCTTCGGGAGTAGCAGAAGGTACGTTGCTTCTTTGCATCTGCCTTCCAGTGATGCGTGGTAGGGCCATCTCAACATTTGTGATCTTCAGCAAAGAGAGAGACTTCAGAAAAATCTTAATAAATTCCGTTTTCACACTAGCTCTTTTTGTGGAAAGAACGTCTATAACATTCTTTACGTGATCGCACGCTTGAGCCAAGTCACAGTCAATTTTTTGAAGAAACTTGCAAAATGGCAGTGTCAAAGAGAAGAGGTCGCTACAGATCTCAAGCGAAACGACAAACTCGGGCTTCATAATGGCATTGAGCAGTTGAGAAGCTTTTGATGAAGTATCAGATGACGCGGCCTCTTCTTCCAAATATTCGAGGAATGGTACAATAGGCACGTACTGTTCAAGGAAACGCTGAAGTGCATCGTGACTCTCTACCCACCTTGTTTGGCAAAAGGAGATAACTGATTTTCTTTTTTCTTGTGTTAAATCTTCTACTTTGTCTCGCAGTTGGTTCGTCCTCTGTGGCGAAGCTCTCACAAACGTACAGGTTGAGGATACAGTTCCCAAACAGTTGCGGATGCTGGGGAGTTTGCATGCGTGAAGCAGAGCAAGGCTCAACGAGTGGGCGCTACAATGCACATACAACGCTTTGGGCGCTGTTTGACGAATGAAGGCTTGAACACCGTTAAGGTGGCCGCTCATTGATGCCGCGCCATCGTATCCTTGCCCGCAAAGTAGGTTCAGGTCAAAGCCATGACCTCTGAGGCTGTTCAGGATTGTGCTCGCCAGCGCCTTGCCAGTGAGATCGTACACGGGAACGAAATCTACAAAATCTTCTTTAAGAATGGGCATTCCCGACGTGTCGTGTCCAACGTGCCTTACACATAGGGAAATGTGGGCGGTGCGAGATATATCAGTGGCCTCGTCAGCTAGAACTGAAAAACACGAACCTGAGTTGACGTTTTCCACTATTTTTCTTTGTATGATTTCACCACAGAGGGTGATCAACTCATGTTGAATTTATGGGCTCGTGTACAGCGCATTCGCCGGAGATGTTTCCATGTGAGTTCTCAAGGCGGCATCTCCACATTTTGCTCTCATCCTAAGCAGTGCGGGGAAATTTCCATCATTTTTGAATGGCAGCACTTCAGACATATTTATCGGACCAGAGTCGTCTGTGCCGCGAAGCGGTACTTCTTGCCTGCCACAAAAAAGGATTGTCTCTGTTATTGGCAGCAAGTTCTTGCAGTTTTCTTCTGCCTGCTTTTTAAGGCCGTGGTCAAGTTGTGTTAAGATGTCATGCTGTGAGCGAGACCGGACTGCTAAAAAGTTCTTTGATAGCGTTGTTGACATGGCGTGATAATTGCTGGATGCGTGGCTCTTAAAGGCGTCTATGGCTTTCTTGTAATTGGTGAACCCCTTAGTTACAAAACAGCCCAATCGCTGGTGCTCCCCTTTTCCTCTACACTCTCTTGCGAAGACTACGCAATATTTGCATAATGCTCCTTGAAGCTTCTCTGAGTAAACAAGCCATGGGTAACGATCTACCCAGTGAGGTTGGAACTTCAGATTCCTTTTCCCTGTGGCTGGATAATCATAGTTAGCCGGAGGGGTCCACAGATTGAGCAGCAGCTTCTCCATCGTCTCTGGATCATTTACATTATTGCTTTTCGAGACAAACAGTCCCAAGTCGAAAATATTCGCACTTGTCGCACAGAGGGCAGGCGAACCAGAATGTGTAGGTGCCATGCCACTCACCTTCCTTGGGCATGGCCCAGTGGTAAAGGCGTCACTTTGCCCAGCGTTGACTGTAGAACAAAGATCACTTGGAGTTGCACTGCGACCACCATCATTTCCCGGCGGCGCATGGGTGTCCTGCTTGTGTTCGTTCTCAGGTGATTCATATAAACCGGTGCATTCTCCTGAGTCGCTACAGAAGTTCGGACGCGCTTGGCTTTCCACCAGTGCTGAAGAGGGCGAAGTTTTATCCTTCGAAGGAGGCGGTTCTTCTCCATCCGCTTCATCGGTTCGAACTTTC